TCCCTCCTAGCCGGGCCCCCTAAAGAGATCCCTGAGGGACTCAGCATTGTCCCCAAAGGCCACAGCCCCCTCTGCAGGCCCACGTTGTGATTCCCTGCCCTGAGAAAGCCCCAGTCTTCCTCATGGGCAGCATCTGAACATTGATGAATTTCCATTTTTTCTTTAATGCAAAAGGCCAAGAGCACAAACAAAAGCTAAATGTCAATATTCCTTCTGTGTTAAAGAGATGGGTGATTGTAGAGATGGTGAAGAGCAAGAGGCAGAGTGCAGATTTCCAGGTGAGCCAGAAAGAAGAGAGAAACAGGTGACCAGCAGGAAACCCAGTGGACAGTAACACTCTACCTGCTGGGTACAGGCACTTGGCATGTGCCAGACACAGAGCCAAGCATGCGGCCTCCTGCAGGGTGGGTATTGTCATTGTCCCAATTGACAGAGGAGGGCTCTGAGCCTCAGAAACTAATTTCTCCAGAGCTGCCCAGCTAAGTAGGAAAACTCAAGGGAACCCAATGCGAATCTGACACCAGGCAAGTGTCCCTTGCCCTCTTTCAGGCAATAAACACCCAGGTCACAACCTGATCCAGGCCAGGTGGCATGTCTCTTGAATTTCAAGGAAGCGCCCTCTAGAATAATTTTTCTTGAAAGTCAGGACTGCAGTCTGCACATTGCCACTCAAGTTCAGCTTTAGGGCCAGAATTCCCATCCTCATTCCCATGTTTCAGAAAGGAGAGACAGAGAGGCAAGCTCTCCACACCTTGAGAGCCTGACATCTGAGTAAGAGAGAGAAGATGTATCCAGATTTGATAAAAGGCCATATGTACCCTGAGACAACAAAATCACCATTGGAGAAGCCAGACGATCTACGTAAGGGACATTCTTGGAAAACAGAAGCCTCTTCTCAATCAAAATACTTGTCCTAAGACTAGACAGTGCCTACATCTCAGAGCAGGATGTCAGGAGGACAGAGTGTGTCCTGAGGGTCTCTCTCAACCTGAGAACTTTGCTGCCCCCCATATGGTGACTGAGGGGAGGCTTGTCACTTAACTCCTTCATACCCACAGGAGAGACTGGAGTAGGCAGAAGCCACCCTGCATCTAGGATTTGGTTTACTATTTGTAAATATAAGATGACAGAAAAGATACTGGGATGGCCTTGGATGTAGGAATATTGCGCTTCTCTGAGATATGAGCGCCCCTGGAATTTCAGGCCTCCACCAGGCTGAAGAGAAGGGAGACAGACTGTTTCCACTAGGAGCAGAGTGACTGTTGCCTTCCTCCAGCCCTCCAGCCAGGGCTTCAAGACTGGGGTCTAGGATCTCCACGATTGAGGTCTTGCCTTGCCTGCCTTACCGAGGAGCAAGAGAATAATGATGGCAGGTAGGGCAAGGAGAGGCTGGTTGGGGCTGGCATTTTTGATCTCTAGTTTTCAAGGCTGATTTTTTTTCTGGCTGGGTTTTATTTTCAAGGAAAGAAGGTAGCTGTTACCATTGTCCATTGTATGCTAAAGAGGCAAGTCTTTGGGTCTTCTACAAAATCTCTTAGAAATGTATTGAGTACCTAGCCTAGGCTACTAGGGTACCAGGCACTGGGAAGAGGAGAGTAAATAAAAGGGGTGCTGTCCTGGGCCTTGTCCATTCAACAGATATTTACTAGAGCTTTGACATGGTCCGCATAGGCTGGCTGTCAAGGTAAATCACACACTCTCAACAGGAGCACACACTGATTCTTTATACACATAAAGCACAAATATATAGGTTGAGCGTCCCTGATTTGAAAGTTCAAAACCCAAAATGCTCCATAATCTGAAGCTTTTTGAATATCAACGTGATGCCACAAGTAGAATATTCCAAACTTTGTTCCATGCATAAAATTATTTAAAATACTACATTAAATTACCTTAAAGTTATATATATAAGACATATATGAAGCAGAAATGAATTTCATATTTAGACTTGGGCCCATCCCAAAATATCTTATTATGTGTATGCAGATATTCCAAAATCAGGAAATAACCAAAGTTTGAAACACTTCTAATCCCAAGCATTTGGGGTGAGGGAACTCGTGTGTGTGTGTGTGTATGTGTATGCATATATGTGAGATGTGATGAGAAAATACTGTAAACATTTACATTTTTTTTAAATGATTATAATAAAAGACACATTACCAAATCCCCCCTCAAAATACTCCCCCTTGCTTGGAATACACTTGTTCCGTCTTTCTTGCCACTTTCTGAAGCAGTCCTGGATGTCCTCTTTCTTTTTTTTTTTGGTACTGGGGATCGAACTCGGGACCTTGCGCTTGTGAGGCAGGCTTCAGAACCACTGAGCTAAATCCCGGCCCGTGGATGTCCTCTTTCATGAGTGTCTTCTGTTCCATTGTCATGACTGCCTCAGTGTCCTAAATCAACCCAACGTGCTTACTTACCTTCCGTGGTCATTTCTGACTTTGGGGAAGAGTCCGAAGCAGCACGGTGCCAGATCTGTTAAAAAAGGTGGATGAGGACTTGCCATAATGTTCTTGTAAGCAGGCCTTTCTGCTGGATGGCACGCAGCAGGAGTATTCACCATAATTTTGTCACACTTCGTGAAAATACAAGAAGACTTCCAGAACTGCTTCAGAAAGTGAGAAGAATGATGGGATAAGGGGGAGAATTTTGAGGAAGACTAATGGCAATGTGTCTTTTACTGCAGTACAATTTGTATTTAAACATTCCCTGTATATTTTTGATCATCCCTTGTACATACAGTGCTACCTGTAACATTAAATTTTCGTAGAACTGGAATGGATTAGGAAAAAATGTCTATAGCCCAGGGGAAGAGGGCAATAATGAAAGGGGAGTTGAGAAACACATAGCTAGATCATTGCAGACAATAAAAGTCCCTACCTTCCAGGCTTATGGTCTTGGGGCTATTAAAGAAAAGAAAGTAAGTACAAGTACTAATTAAATAATTACTTTGGGGCCGGGATTTAGCTCAGTGGTTCAGCTGCCTGCTTTGCAGGCGCAAGGTCCTGAGTTCGATCTCCGGTACCAAAAACAAAAGATTGCACTAAATAATTGCTTTGGACAAAGTGCTCTGAGGGCAAAGGCCAGGAGCAGGAGCTCAGGGGGGACCCACCCAGTCCCCCCCTCACCCAGGCAGGAAGTCAGTCTACACCTACTCCTTAGGCGGCCAGGGAATGGGCTGGGGCTTCCAGTTGCCTGGACCACCCACCTCATTGTGTTCACTTACCTCCCACCTGGGTGTGACTGTTTAGATGACTGGGCTCTGTCCCTCAGGGTGAGCATGCAGTTCCAAAGCCCTGGATGCTTGGCGCCTTCCTGGTGGCTTCCAGGCTAGGCTCTACCATGTCCCCAGCCCTTCCTGCCTACATGTGCAGGGTGACATTCCTCAGCCTCCCCCTCCTGGGTCAGCCATCCCCTCCCTGTCACACTCCCAAAGAAAGAATCAAAGTTCTTTCTGCCCTCAAGCTCCTGGCATGGCTTTGGGTGGCAGATGCTGGGACCTGGGCTTTTATTTTTAACCAACTTTCTGGCTCCAACTCCAGCAGCCCACCCTGTAGCAGGTCGGAGCCCTGGCATTTGGGAGCCATCCACAGACAGCAGTTGTTCTGAAAATCAAACAGGAGTAGGACAGGCTATGGAGAGAGGGAAAGTTTATGACATTTGCTCTTTTCTCTCTCCTTGGGCTTGGGACTAGTGTTTACTTGGTGGACCACTGCAGATATCTTAGCCTTTCTCACTCTGAAATGATGCTGAGTGCAGGGTTTCAATATGCATTCAAGGCTCCCCTGGGCCTTGAAGGGGCCTTAGGAAAGGGGTTTTATACCTGTCTCAAAGTGAAATGAGCTTAAGAGGTGGCTCTTCCAGCGAAATCCTCCCCAAGTGTCTTCTCCACCCTCTGAAGAACACAGGGCCAATATCCTGGTCCTTACTCAACAGGTGAAGAAACTGAGGGTCACATAGTCAGTGACAGAGCTGAAATGCAACTCAGCATGCAGCCAGCCCTGTGTGTGTGTGTCCTGAAGGTTGGAGTCCAAAACGTGCAATTTAAAGCCTATTGGACAGAAACTCAGAAGTCACCGTAGTATCTAGAGTATGCACAGAACTGGGTGGGGAAGAAATTCTGGGGCTTTGATTAACAGAAAAGGGGGCTTATAAAGACACAGAAATGAGTGCCCTGTACATGTCAGGGGAGAGAACTGGTGAGCTGGGATCCCAGGCATCACCACACACACACACACACACACACACACACACACACACACGCATAGTTTGTTCCCTCTGAGCTTCTACACACTTCTGCTGGCCTCTCTCTCCAGCCATGTGACAAGAAGGGTGTGAACAACATCTCAGCCCATAACCAGTCCTGGGAGAAACCATCCAAAACCCCCAGCTGCTGCAAGTGACCAAGCACCCCTGACCTGGAGTAGGGTGGGATGTATGGCTGCTACGGTGTGCCCTCCCGAGGGTGAGAAGTGCTCAGAAAAGGGTTAGACAGATCCCCACCAACAGCCTGGATTTTCTCCTAAAGCATCAGAAACATACACCTCCAATTCAGGGACAGAATGTAGGAGAAACCCCACCACTGTGAGTGTGCTCATCACATGGAGCCCCTGGCCTCACAGCCAGGACACATGGAGATACAAAAAGGGAAAGCAACATCTATGCACCCAGATGGGTGTGCTCCAAATGTTAATGAGGTTCTTTATGGTCTGATAATGATGAGTCAGTCATCTTAACTCCTCTCTGTCTCTCTCTCTCTCTCTCTCTCTCTCTCTCTCTCTCTCT